GGGGGGGGGGGGGGGGGGGGGGGGGGGGGGGGGGAGGTGAGAAGGTGGGCCAGGAACGAGAGGAAGTAAAAAACAGGTAAGCACGTGAACCACCAACAGTTTTTCTCCTGGTAAAATGAACTTTTTGGAACGCATTAGCAGAAATAACAAATGTTTTAGCTACAGGAAAAATAATAGACCCGTGTAAAGCACGTGATGGATCTCAGCAAAAAAAAGAACGTGTTTTTGCTACTGTTTAAAGATCGCTCAGAAAGTGTAATGTACTGATGTGATCTTTGCAATAACCAGCTGCGCGGACATAGCATTTAGAAAAATGCCGTAGTTTCTCGGTTTTCAACTGCTACAGCAGCTAAAGCCTTGGGTCATCACTAGACTGACCAGTGCTTCAATTGCCTGGCACTGGTGCATTAAGCATACTGGGTTTCGAAATGCCTTCGTCTTACTTTCCAGACAATCCTCCATGCAAGGAGTGCTCAGAAGTGATCGTTGGTGCCAGTACTTAGTTCATTTCAAAAACTGACTACTACTGGCAGAAAAGCCTGAGAATCAGGAACAGTATTCAAGCAGTTCAAAGCTAATTTTCAGAAAAGAAATTGGTATTTAATACCATTTTCTAGTTCACGAATCAAGCTCACTAAAGGTAACTAAGCAGCGCCGAGTAAAACTTACAAAAACGGAAGAAAGTAATAGAATAATATTGCCAAAACGTTCCGATAATTGCTCTTGATTTGTCTGCTCATAATACTGATGCAGTGAGACGCAGAGTGCATCGAGCATCCGGCGCATCGCAGGTTTATTCCCATCGCTGATCTCACACATCGCTAAAATCAGCAATTGAGAAATCTCAAAGAATTTTAGGAAAACTTTCCAACAAATCATAAGCGGTTTACTTCTGGAAAAAAGTCTACACTTGCCCCGCAATTGCTTTCAAACTATTCTTTCTGCCCCAGCGGAAGACTCCAGCATAGCTACAGCTTTCTAAATTCCTTTAAGAGCCAGACTTCTGCCATCTTCGCCATACGACCAGCTCAGCTTTTCATTCTACAGTGCAACTTGGGAAATTTGCTAGAAGTACCGATGGCGAGAAGAAATGCGACAATGAAAAGTAACTTTGCAAGATATAAACTATGTAATTTCTGCAGTGGCAAGTCTTCTTTAGTTAAATTTAGCCATGCTGTTGTTTACAAAGCTTACTTCCTTTCCAGGACACAAATGCCTTTAGCGCCACGAATTCCTCAAGTGATATCTTCATCGCAACCATTGGCTCCACTATTTCGGACATCAGTTGCCTAAGTAGCGGTCGATAAATTCTGAAAACACAGCGAAGGAAGCCTGAAACTTTCAATGCCCTGTTTACACTCAGCCATTAAAAAATTTCAGCCTTCAAATGAGTTCGCATTTTTGTTATAAATGGACTAAAGAGATAAAAAAATAATGGCACAGTTTTTCAGCTAATTTATAAGTAGAAGGTTGCTCAAATACTACCGTGAGGTGAAGACCTCTGTAGAAGGACCAAACTGGTTTTTCTTTTTATCATAACTCACTTTTGTTTGGTTGCGTTTGAGATCTCTTTCTCATCCTCCCATCCATCCTTACAGCTTTCATCCACCGCCACATAACCACCGTTCTGCATCACAAATCGTTTCGGATAGCCGATTTGCAATGTGATATAAGAGGGATCCAAGATTGTGTGATATAATACGCATTTTCTCAAAAATGTAATCTGCAATTATAGTATGCGTCAGAGGCGCAACTAGTGTCACTTTACTGCAACATTATTTGTGGATTTAGATGGCCTTTTGAAGTCAAAAAATCCAGGAAAAAATTTTGTGTCACTCTACCAAAATGATGCATCTGTTTTCCAGTCAAAATGATGCATCTGTTTTCCAGTAATGTTTCTTTTACATTTTTTAGCCATTTTAGCACTTTATTAAGGTGCTCTCAATTAATTTTGTCACGATGACAGTCTGATACTTTTCAGCTCTAATCGCTTTTTCCGTCGTGATCATCCTCTTCGATTACCAGATTGTCTTTCACAGCAAAAGGACTTTGAATAGTTGGTACAGGTATGTCAATGAACAGAGTAGGATTTGAGTATTTACAGCATTTAATTAAACGCAAATGGCGGCTGCCAGATAGAGGCATACAGCCCAGGACTGAAGAGATTAGCACAGTTGCGCCCGACGTTTGGGAGCTTCTTAGCGACATTTGTTGGGCAACACGAACATTCGGTGCGCATAGACGTTTCGAGCAAATTTGCGATATTCGTTGACTTGATGATCTTTTCCTTTCCCGGTGATCGTTGTTGAGTTTCGCAGCGGGAACATTGCATATAAACGTGAGTGATAGTATCACTGGTGCTGTTCTGTTCTTTTCTTTGTCTATTACTGTGCGTCAGTGTTTCGTCAAGAAAGTTTCGCCATGTCGTCAACTTCCAAGTGTAATTCAACGGAGAAGCAGCATCAGGGAAGTGCTAGCCGGCTGCGAAGAATCTCGTCCGGGCGGGATTCACCGATGTTAGGCGAGGCGCACCTAAGATATCACCAGCTTGGAATATCCACAGCAACAGCCCCGGGCTGCCTTGTATTTCTTGGCAACTGTTATCATATCATAACAGAATCTCAGAAGACATTTATAGCGCACTACAGTCAATACGCGTTAAATCAAATTGGAATGAAAAAAATAACTGTAACTAATTGTGATCCAAACTTTTTACACTCTTTACTTATTACTTATAATTAGCTAATCTCTGCGTAAAAATATTTTGGAAAACAATGAGCAAAGAGGCACAAAATCGATTCACTGAGTCATTTTTTTAAGAAAATTTTGCCAGAAAAGCATAAGTATGATGCCGATCAATAAGCAAAAAATTTAAAAAATTTTTCAGTATGCGAGATTGGAATTTTAGCCACTGAAAAGGAATTTTACTTCGTAAATTTCAAAAAAAGATTTACCTGATCGAGTTTATTGAATGAATCATAAGCTGGCCAACTCCTCAACCATTCATAAACCAGCAAAATGTGTGTTCGTATTGATTTTCGAAATTTCCGAAAGCGAAGTGGAAATATCTCCTCCGCTGTGAACGGCTGTAACAAATTTTGAGCAGAGGTGCCTCGTACAAAAATGTCAAATTTTTAAGCATTCTAACACAGAAAGATTGTGAAGATTTTTTTGTTCTAATATTGGGGAAAAAAATTACACACGGCTGCGATCTTCCCAAAATACTTCCAACCGGTCGCTCGCAGAATAATATGCGACGGCGTTCGCCTATTTTTAGCTCTTCTGCAACTAGCCGACGCAGCACCTGCAATCAAATTGAAGTGCCATGAGCTTTAAGTAAATCCAAGTAAAAATAGTTAAGTGCTCTTGCAAATGTATTTCGTTTTTGCTACTCTCGAAGCCTGCGCAGATTTCTTGAAGACGAAAAAGAAATTCTGGAAACTTCTTGAACGAGTAGAACTGTACGGCTGCTTTTCAGAAATTCTCAAGTATGAACCAGAATAATGCTCAAATCACTCGAAAATTGAAATCAGGCATTCAGCTGACGAATATTTCAAAATGTCTATCCTTTTTTAACTGAAATTCGATTCGCTGCTGTGGCTTTATATCACCAATTCACTCTACTGATAAGAAACACAGTTTCAGCTTTTGGATAACAGATGTGAAATATAGATCCGCTCTCAACAAGTTACGTCAGAGATTAATCTGTGTTTACTGCTGCCAGTTTTGTTTCACATCGCATTTTCTCAAAGCACATATAAAATAGTTTGGTTTCTCCGGATAATATGCTAAGATTGAGGTATGTTAAACATAGGGCAAGGCGGATTGCGCCACATCAAAAACCCGTTTCATTCACTGCAGTCTTTTCCAAAAATTCTATTTCCCTTTCTCATTTTTATGCGTTTTTTGCAGCTATGTAATGCAAAAAACGCATATTGACGAAGGTTTTTTGTGTGTGTGTCTGTGTGTCTATTTTGTCAGGGTGTGCGTCTGTTACGGTTTTTCATCTCAAGACCTACAAAAGCTACGGAGCTGAAACTTTGGGAACTTGATCTACATGCACGTACAGGCCCCTGAAAGCTTTTTACGGGTAAGTAGCTAACTCGAGAATCAGAAAAGCCAGAAAGCTGAAATTTTAGGAGGATGTTCCCCATCAACTCTTAAGGAGCTCAAACCCAGTCCTTGGGTATGCGTGGTACCCACACACGGTGGCACCAAAATTTTTTTCGGGTAAGTTACTAACTCGAGAATTCGAAAAGCTAGAAGACTGTAATTTCAGGAGGACATTCTCCGCCCACCTAAGTCTCATTGAGCTCAAACCCAGGCTTCGGGAATGCGTGGTACCCACTTATGGGGGCGCCAAAGTTTTTTCGGGTAGGTTGCTAACCCGGTAGCCTGAGAAGCTAGAGGATTAGAATTTTAAAGAGATATTTCCCGTCCAAGTGGGTATTAATGAGCTCAGACCAGCCTCCGGGTATGAGCCATCCCCACGTAAGGACCCGTTAAAGGTTTTTTTCGTGTAAGTTGCTAACTCAGAAACCTGAGAAGCTAGAAGACTGGAATTTTGAAGGGACGTTTCCTGACAGTCCTGGCGGCCAGTCTGAAATTCTTTTAGCTAGAAGCATACGCCGGAAAAAACTGTGCCGTTAGCGACAAAAATCTGTGAGGAACTATACAAAAAACTCATCTTCGCAGCAAGCCCGTGCGTTGGCCAATTATTATATTCTAAAATATTTCAAATTTAACTTCAGGGCATGCTTTAGGCCTACGTGCGAGCAAGTGAAATTTTAGTTTGGAAATTCTTTTAGTTGGAAGCAACCGCCAGAAAAACAGTGCCGTTAGCGACAAAAATAACTTGGTAACCATCCAATTAACTTGGTAACCAGAATGATCAAGAAGCAGTCTTTTTCTGCGAACTTTTGCTGTTTATATGAGGGTTGACAGGCATAAGATGAGCTTCTCCCTAGGCATGGACCCTGCTTATAAGTGCATCAAATGTACAAACCGCAACACCATAGACACGCCCCGGTAGCATAGACGACCTTCCTAAGATTGGAATTATGCCAAAGCGCATGTTCGCATCGGCAAGTCTACTGCGTCGCCATCTATTCTGATTAAATGGATATACAGTTATTTTTCGTTTCAACCAAAATTTTTTTATACGCATTTATTATTTTTTTTATTGCACTGGATGTTACTTCCAGTTCCAGCCAGCAACTGCTGATCGCACTCATCGTTCGCTTGCGATGCTATATTATCAAATGCGATATTTAATCACAGCTTACGTGATTTTATTAGTGAGGAGTATCAAATCGTAATTTATGATCTTTCCGCTAACGATCAAAATTTTGAATTGTTTAAGTTTATTTTCAAGTTCCAAAAACTTTTAAAAAGTCAGATTGAGAAAAAAAAACAACCAAATAATATAAATGAGTTGCGTTTTACAGAAATTTAACGGCGTTGCGAGTCTAATCTTCTTCCGCATTGTTGTGCACTCTCAGAAATTTTCCACTCTCAGTACCAAAAACGCACTTTACTTGTTTTGAATTTTTCTTCCAAGCGTTGTTTTGTTTCCAGGAAGTGCGGTAAAATAATGTGCAAAAAACTGAACGTACATCACAGTGCGTATGAAGGCACCTTTGGTCGCAACCAATAGCATAGTTATTTTCGGCAATACTATTACTGCGTACCGATAATATCTCAGTATTTCCGGTACTGGACGAGTTTTCTGCAAAACACTGCTTTCTACGCAGAGTGAAATTAATCATTTCTAAAATTAGCTCTAAACACATGAAAAACTTTGCTCCCTGACGAATTATTACGTCAGCTGTGAACAATTAAAGAAATACGTAGAACCAGTAACGCAGCCAGAATTTTTGGAAAATTGGAAGAGGCGCCCGGCTAAAAAATGACTTAATCATTCTTCGATAATTGCTCAAATGGTGAAGAAATTATTGCGAAAAGAACAGACACATGTTTTTGGAAAAGTTACTAGCTGTGAAGGTGAGGTTCAAGGGTCTTACGAGAGTGCAGAGGACGAAAAAGCAATTTCGATTTAATGAAAAGTGATCAAGCAACGTGTTGTAAATGCGTCGGGCTTACCTCGGGTATGTCGGGAATCTTCATCGTTGCAAACGGATTCAGCAGGTGAATTCAGTTGCGTTAATGGACTGGAACACTGCAGATATGGTGAAAATCATTTACTTTAACTAACACTAGAGAGTTAGAATTCGATAACTGAAAGAATTTAAAATTTTTTACATCAACGTGAGGATCCAACTGGGCACTACCAAACCGTTTGTTCCTTCGTAGGCCAGACCTTGTGGCGAATGAACGGTGACATTCTGCTGCTAACTTCTTCGGCTGTACTGCTAAATGGAACAAACAAATTATGAGCAAAGATTTCTGCTGGTTAGATCTGAGAAAAGAAATGGTACAACTACCGAGAATACTGAGACTATTAGCGCTATCAGTGTGTGTATTTCCTGTTAGTGATGTTACTAGGATACTTCTATACATCGAGCGTAGCTGTGCCAAGTCTTTCGACCCTAAGCTGTGTGCTTCCAGTTAATACCCACCTCCTGTTCGATGTATGAGCACCATCTTTTCGGGAGCCCCCCGAGCGGCCATCTACTTTTACGTGAGTACCGATTACTCATGCACACTGACCAGCGATTGCCGGCGAGATGAGCAGCACTAGCTTTTCTAAAAATGAACTTACAGTCCTCGTTCATTCCCACAGCGAAGCATTTTCGCAAACGGCATGCTTGACACACTTGACGTAATGCTACAACACAGTAAAGTCATTGATCCACAGGTGAATTAATCTATCTTTTCATCGAAAACGAAAAAAAAAATCAACAAAATTAGTTTTGTAGAGAAGATGATTTCTTAGAAGAAGACAAAGAATTATTTGGTACCTGAATGAACTACGGGAAAGGAACAGCGAGAGACATCATACATCACTCTTTATTAGTCGGGAGGATAACAGTATCGCTTCAGATGCTTCGCCAACTTTGCGTAAAGAAGCTTCATCAGTATTTCCGGAACAATTTTAGTGAGGCATTAAACAAAAGCACAGAGTTTTAACGAAATGACGGTATTCTGTACAAAGCCGCTCAATCTTCTGCGTTCACTCTCAGACGCCTAAAGGAAATCGAAATGATCGCTACCTCCTAATCTTGGCTGTGAAAAGGAATCGCTACTATCTCGCATTCTTTGTCGTGGAGCAGCTTTTTTTTTACAAAACAAGGAAACCAGCAGCATGGAGAATTAAGATAACTCTGCTCGATTTACGCCTACATTTCAGCAGTAGAGGGAACAGACACCGTAATGATATTACTGAATTTTAAATTAAGTTTGAGAGAAAGAAAAGGAGTTGTTAAAGTATCAGTAGGGGAAGGGTGTAGGATTAAGAAATTAGAAAAATTTTTTAGAAAAAAGGAAAGAAATGTTTCGGTCGCCAAAGTCGCATATATTTCTTGCCAGTGCCACAACGTTGTCCGTGCGATATTACAGATATGATAAAATTCGAGTTTTACTTGAAAAAGGCGAAACAAAGGGCAGTGAACTTACAGTAGTGAATGATACAATTGTTTTTGCCGGTTTTGCATCTGAACTGTTTCTTGTAGGCAATAGCACGACGGAAGAACGCGGCACAAGCACTGCAGGATTGCGCTTCGAAGTGATACCCTGTGGCCCGAGCCAAGCATACACCACAGTTATACTTGCTTGCCGAATACGCTGTTGCTAAAACGTACAAAGATGAGCGAAAAATGGGTGGAAATCAAATTAAGTTAGCCTATAAAGAATAATCAAAAAGACTGCCACTTATCACTGTCCTGATTATGAGTTGCTGTGACATTTGATCCGTTCACTACATCGTTCTCGGTCGTATACTCTCGAAGCACCAGAAAGTAACCAGCTTGTCAGTTAACCTCTTTTAACAAGGCGAAAAAGTACGGCTTAGGTGATGTAAGACATGCTTTTGCTGGTGAATGATGATAATAATGGAAATAATAAAGGTAGTAATAATAATAACAACTAATGACAATTATTAATATTATTATTATTATTATTATTATTATTATTAGTGCAGTAACGGTAACAGCAGTAATAAAAAATAATAACAATGCAAACGATAATTACTGTAATTGTAATGTGTTGTGTATAGTCAGTTTGGTGTACGTAGACGTGGAGGAGAACGACGAGCCGAATTTCGCACTGACATGCTGACGACGATTTCTACTGCAGGAGATGTCTGGACGAAACGAAAAAAAAAACTTTATTAAAAAACACTTTAAAGACACAGGCTGCGCGAAACTGTGCACGGACGAATGCTGGACGCGAAAAAGCATACGAACACTAATACTGATTCACAAAATCACGATCTTTTGTTCTTATTACAACGGGAGGGAAATCTCAAGAAAAATGGGAGGAGTAGTGAAATCTCATTGCTGATCATTTCCGAATCGTTCTAAGTTTTTCCGGCGAAACCCTCATTTGCTTTCCGTACAAATGCCAAAAATTATATTATCCGCGAAGCATAAGTAATTTAGTTGCTCGCCGTTATTTTGTTTTTACCAACTTCTGAAAACCTTGCCACTGACCGAGCGAGACTGCAGCGTGATTTGATTGTCTGCTGTTAGCTCGTCTTCTATGAACTCTTAATTTGAGAGATTAGCTGTGAGCCTAGCAGTATACATACCGCATATTGTATGCAAGCGGTTGCCCTGAAGCGATACATATGGCTAGCATGGTAGTTTGGGGTTCGTTTGGTTACAACTTGATTAGGGAAGCACGCAGACAGGGCAGACAAACAACCTGGAAAATCAAATTTGTAACTAGGCAAATTAGAAAGAGGCGGCGTACATACATTAAAATATTTGAGAAACACGGCAAGAAACATGAATAAGTTCTTTCATGGAAAACAGATAAGTTACTTTCAAGAACAGACTGAGAAGCTGAGCGGGTGCTTTTGAGCATGAGGAAACTTCGAGGAACTTATTCGCTTTTCTAAGCATCTGCTACGATAGAAAACAAACCTTTTCCCCTCCCCCACCCTCGTGATCGGTGGATTGCATGACGTGGAGGTTTTGAATCACTGAATGTTATTCTTAAAACAGTAACTGATCACTCAAATACATCATCCAAGGAGGCTGCGGCAGGATAGGAAATAGACTAATTTAAACCACATCCTTATTGTTGGGCTGGAGACAAGCCTCTCATGCAGATACGCTCAGAGTTCGGCTGTATCGCAGTAATTTTGAAAGCTTCAGACTGAACACCTGCGTGATTACGAGCGTGGAATGATGAAAAAGGCTTGATATGAGTTGTTTTGAAAAAGTCAGCTATTGTACATGATCTTTGGTATGTTAAAGAACGAACTTGAGGAGCATTGCCTGATGACTGCGTCCATGACGATAATTCTGTATGCAGTAGTAATAGTTATCAGTAGAGAGGAAATGATAAAAGATGCAGTGGTTGATAAAATGAACGGCTACGCTGCTGCTGCTGCCGCCGCGGCCGCTGCTTCACGGCAAACAGCTGCTGCCCCGGCTGCTAGCAGTTGTGATGAACAGAGATAACAAAACTTTTTTTGAAAGCTATAAATAATTTAAAATTCATGCGGCTACCAAATTATCCAGAATATCAATAAAAATATTGGAACTGAATTTCCCCTGTGATGAGTCATAATTTCCCGCCTTCACTTTGCCAATACAGTAGCTTAAAAAAATCTGGAAAAGATTACTAAACATTTGATTCCTCGACTCCATTAGCTAAAATCGGTGCTTTCATACAAACCTTCGAATGAGTAGCATGAATGGAAACCCAGTCTGGAATACACCAGGGCTTGTCGGTGCGGTCATAACTTTTTGCACCAGGTTTGAAGTGCTCAGGTCGTTAACTACATGAATGATTGTTGCTTTAAAACTGCCTTTCGCGCTCACTAGTCTAAATCATCACAGATTTTACATAAAGAAAACGAACAATTTCCGTCCAACGGTTGTTTCTCGAAAATGATCTGGCTGTTCAGTAAGCAATTTTCCTGCTAAAATTTCTAAATGC